AATAATAATAATAATAATAATAATAATTATTATTATTATTATTATTATTATTATTCATATTATTACGTAAAGTAAAGTGTGGATGAGCAAACTTGGAGCCCCTGTGAAGCTTCTATGTGTTCCTCAGTACCTGCTACTGACTTGTCACTCAAATGTGGTAGCAAACAACGCCATCAAATTTACACAGCAAATTGCATGGAAGCAATCTCTAGCACAAAAGACCAGAGTTAAGGGTGGGAGAGTAGTTTTATTTGTTTATTTTCCTAATTAAACATCATATTGCCACATTGTAATCGGATCTACACTGCTCACAGTTTAGCATTATACAATATGGATAATACAAAATAATAAAAACAATATAATGCAATAGTATCCCCTGTCAACACTTGTTCATGGCTCACCACATTTTCTAACTAGTGTGGTCCTTGAAGGTCTTCCAAAATAGCTGGAATTTAATGAGTCTCTGGAATCCCATGAAGGAAACAATGACTCTTGCCTCCAGGAGCAAGCTGTTCCATAGGAGGGGAGCCCCCCCCCGAAAATGCCTCCTTCTGAGCCTCCTCTCATTGGACATCTTAATATGTGGGGACTTCAGCAGGCAAACTCAGTTTGCATGCACTGAAAGGGCAGGTAGTCTCAAAAATACCCACATCCCAAACCATGTAGGGCTTTACAGGTAGTAATCAACATCTTCAACTGCAGTTGGAAACAAACTGGCAATCAACACAGTTCCTGTCAACAAATGAAAAATATTAGGATAGTATATATTAAAATTGAAAGGGGGAAAAAGTAATGGTTGAGAACATGTTGTCTTATCTGCTTCAACTATTGTCTGTCTTCTGGAACCCCTGGAAACATCTGGATAATGAATACCAGAAACTTAATCTATTTGTGTATTTAATTTATTAATCCTATTATATCACTTTCCTGTTTAGCCCTAACCACTCATAGGGATCTTGAACCAATTGCTCATGTATCTTCTGGAAGACATCCATGGGGGTCTGAGTGACAGCAAGTTTCTCTGGGGGTATGACATGCATAGGGTGTGCTGGAATATCAGAGTAGTCATACTCGGGTTTTCTGCAGAGGGTATCAGATCAATAGTTATGGCTACTGGAAATATACGTGATCTTAAAGTCAAAGTGGGCAAAGAATAGAGGCCATTGTATCTGTTGTTGATTCATCTTTCATGCCGTTTGTAGGTGTTTCAGGTTCCGGTGGTCAGTGCATACTTCCACAGAGTGCCGTGCACCCTCTAAGAGATGTTGCCACATTTCAAAAGTCACCTTAATTGCAAGGAATTCCTTATCCCAGATGGTGTAATTCTGCTCAGCTGGTGTGAGTTTCCGTAAGTAG